CTGTGACTATGTTCCTGACCCTCTCAGACTTTCAGTTGCTGTACTAAAATCCAAGTGGGAACAGTCCTGAGTAAGTCTGATTTTGTCAGAAATCGAGAGAAATATGACCCCGGGAGGAAACCGGGAGAGGGCAATGAAATCGGGAGTCTCCCGCGAAAATCAGGAGGGTTGGCAAGTATGGTCCCGCCCCTCACGTTCAATGTGTTGGAGTGCTAGCCAATCACAGTAGTCATGTCACTATTACCTCATTCACACCAACGCAACTCCGGTTCAAGCTCCGTGCTAGAGCTTTTCAGGTTCAGAACCGGTTCTTCGGTTTAGCTCCGGCTCTTTTCACACTGCCCAGAGTCCGACTGGTGCTGCGTCATTGCGTCATTGTTTACGTCATGACGTAACCGTTTGCGTGCCTGCTTCATAAAGCCAAACCGCGCGGAAACCCCTCACAGCTCACACCGACAACAACAACAATGGCTGATTGTGCTCCGCCTTCCTCTGTACCTCTTCGGAAGACCAGATTCCCAGTAGGTAGCTGGTCTCTTCAGTGGACCACTGCTGCTTGTTAAGTTTCTTCATCGTTGTGTACAAACTGGATAAAACGCTGGCTTTTGTTGTTGTTAAGGAGTTGATCCCGCCCCTGCCCCCGCCTCGACGTAAGCGTGACGTATGTGGTGCTTTTGCTCTGGCCGGACAATTTTTTGGTGCTTGAAACGAATCGGATTCCGGAGCTAAAAGGCTGCTCCGCTGCGGTGAGAGGAAAACCCGGTGCTATTCAAGCTCCAGCTCCGAACCGGCCCTGAAACACCGTTGGTGTGAATGAGGTATGAGTTACGGAAGTGATAAAAGGAGTCCAAGTGCGGTATTTAAGGCAGGAGTGTGTGGGAACCCCTCTGGAGGGAACTTTTAGATTTTAGCCTTTGCAGACCATTGACGTGCACAAAAACCTATATAACTACTATATATACTACAGGGAAAACCCCAAAAAGCTTAATTGGTCCTCTTTAAGAGAAAACTTGTGTGAAAGGGAACCAGATCAGCGAAATTCAAGACAAAACATTTATAATATTTGGAAGCTACTTTTAAACATAAGACACTATATTCAATTTCTTCTTTGCAAATGGCTTAGGACCTCACCTGGACCAGCATGTCTTTAGAGAAGGAGTTGAAGTATTGGCTGGCGTGCTCCTCTGGGTTGCTCTGCCGAGTGCTGCGGGGGCCTGTTCTCACACCGTTGTTTTCAAAGCCTTCAATAAACAAAGACATAACTGTTATAATGGCACAAACCTTTAGACGTACAGTACAAATCAAACATCACCAAACAAACGGTTGTCAGGGTGTAATAAAGTACATACTGGATTGCCATATTGGGCTTGTCAATCTAACATAATATTGTATCTCTATTGGGGGGAAAACCCTCTGACGGGCCAGAATGTATCTTTCGTTTGACAAATCTAAATCATTGCGTGAAGAAGTGGTTTGTGGACTACCGTTTTGGAGCCAATAGTTTTTGGCCTTTGCCGTCTTGGGTTTTTGGAGCCAGAAGGGACTTTTATTGAGGAGAAGGTAAAGCTTTGGAGGGATATTCTTTTCTACTTCTCTACAAGGTCTGATACATGGGACCATAGTTTACAAAATAACTATCGTGCTGAATTGGAGAAGATTAAAAACTAGCAATTCAGACTTGAAACTCATTAGGAAAATGTTAAGTGAGGTGAGAGACTTCTATACAATCAGATGTATTCTTACAGTCAGTGGATACTTCCTTTCTGGTCATTTGAAATAATGCAGCTTTAAGTCACATTCACTTCTTTTTAGACTTGGAGGCAATGTTGAATTTTTTTTAGAGAGTCTAAGGTTGCTATCATTGAAAGTTGCTGTTAAAAATAATATAAGCTTGATGCATTCAGCTTCCATCCTTAGGCATGCAGATACTTACCAGCAAGTTCATCCGCAGCGAGTTGCAAACAAGAGAAAATAAAGTGAGACTACAGCAGATACTGTATGAGGCTAACGTGTGTTTCACAAAAGAGAAATACAACTGGAACACAGCATTCAAAACATACTGCCGGAGCAAATCACAAAACAGAGCAATGGGTGTGTAAAGGTTTGTACACCAGGGTTCCCACAGCTGTCCATGTAAATCACATATGTCAAACTCAAGGCCCGGGGGCCAAATCAGGCCCTTGGTGGATTTAATTTCAGCCCGCAGGATAATTTTTAATTGTGTAGAGAGCTACATAGATTAAAATTAGAGAGTATCTGTTAATAATGTTTATTTTCGGGCACCTGTGTGGGCTTCAGGGAGGGGGGGGGGGCAGGGGTTGGGCTCAGACAGAGCAGTCAGGATAACTGTGGCCTGCTTCTTGTGTATGTGGTGATATGAGAGAATGTGGAAATCAGAAAAGTAAAATACCCGCCTTGCAATCCGTGTTCCTCATTTCACAATAATGACGTTTTCTTTAGTCTGGTGGAAATATGCTCCGCCTTCTCTGGGTGGTCAATGGTTTACTTTAGTTTTTGAGATATTTACAGAGGACTTGTTTTTCCTCCTCCTGTTTCTTATGCCTTTGTTTACAGCTGTGTGTAAAGGCATACAGGTGAGTGTATTCATATTTATAAACCTCAAACAGAAGATTATTGTGTAGCTTTCCACCAATATCTTTGCCAGATATTTTTCTGTTTGCTGTGTTTTATTGATGGATTTGTTATATGTATTTACATCTAAAACCTCTGGATGATATATATTTGTACTTTATTTATTATGATTTGTTTGGTTATTTTGTTGGCGTTACAATTTAAATACACATCCCCAAGTTGTGTGTGAAGATGTAAGTTATGATATACTGTGTGAAAAATGTGTCCTCGCTGCCTGATCTGACACACATTACCAAGCTTCTGCTGTTCATGCCGCTGACGGGCGAACCGCTTTGTCCGTGCATTGCGCTGTGACTCACATGCGCCATGTCAAATGTTCATTATATTTCAAAGGCTCATTATTACAGTTTTATATTATCTTCTATATGTCGCACAACGTACCATTATGCTATTAATAATAATGTTCTTTCTCAGCCCTGGATACGAAAACACAGTGTGAACAAATTATTGGCCGATCCTGATTTGTGTCATGTGCATCGGTGCCCCTCTAGTAGGGTTAACTGTATTGTTTGTGCTATTAATAATTTTTCCATTGTTTGCTTTATTGTTACAGACCACACCCTAAACAAATCAACATCACTGGCAAAGTCTGATTCCCTGTTCTTACATCGGGACACATATGCATCTTGTGCGCTAACAACCTGACCCCCGGAGCCCACATCTCCTTTATACGAGTACTTCCCCAAACTGCTGCTGATTTCACATTATAAAAAGGACTTCATAAGGAAGTACAACTGACCCACTGTCTGTTTTGTAATTCACTCGAAGACAGATGTTTTTTCAATCTGACAAGGAACTCATCTGTCCTGTCTGCAAGGACATCTTTAAACATGGTGGGGGGGGAAACTAATTTGCATGTGTCCGTGCTGTAATAAAATATCCCCGACATGTGATCCACCATGTAACCTGGCATTAAAGAATCTGTGTGAGGCCTTCGTATTGCAGAAAATAACCTCAGAAGCTCTCTGCAGTCTGCACTCTGAGAAAGTGAAACTCTTCTGTCAGCAGCATCAGGAACCAGTGTGTGTCATCTGCAGAGATTCAAAAACACACAGCAACCACAGATTCACACCCGTCAATGAAGCAGCCGAAGCCCTCAAAAAGGAGCTCCAGAAATCCCTGAAGCCCTTACAGGAGAAACTGAAGCTCTTTGAACAAATTCAAGGAAACTTTGGGCAAACAGCAGAACACATTAATGTCCAGGAGCAACAAACAGAGGGGCGAATTAAGGAGCAGTTTAAGAAGCTTCACAAGTTTCTACAAGAGGAGGAAAAGGCTAGGCTGGGTGCTCTGAAGATTGAAAAGGTACAGAAGATGTCAATGATGGACGGGAAGATTTCGGCCCTGAGCAGAGACATAGAAGCTCTTACCGAAACAATCAAAGCCACAGAGGAAGAGCTGAGAGCTGGAGACGTTTTTTTCCTGCTGAACCAACAGGAAACAGTGAAAAAAGTGCAGCAGCACCTCCAGCTGGAGGATCCACAGCTGCACCTAGGAGCTCTGTTAGACCAGGCCAAACACCTGGGCAACCTGACCTTTAACATCTGGAACAAGATGAAGGACATGGTCTCCTACTTTCATGTGATTCTGGATCCAAACACTGCTCATGCAGAGCTCATCCTGTCTGAGGATCTGACCATTATGAGATGTGGAGAGAAACAGAAGCTTCTGGAAAACCCAGAGGCATGATTTTGACCCGGTTGTCCTGGGCTCTGGGGGTTTTACTTCTGGCATTCACAGCTGGAATGTTGAGGTAAGAAATTATTCATTTTGGGGCCTAGGTGTGGTAAAGCACCCCATTCAAAAGAATGGACAAACACCGACTAGATACTGGCACATCCTTCTCATTGATGGAATACTCAAAGCAGTCGCCCCACCGCTCCAGGATAAAGTTCTCTCAGTGAAGGAGCCCCAGAGGGTCAGAGTTCAGCTGGACTTTGTCAAAGGAAAGCTGTCCTTCTATGATGCTGATACTGACACACACATACACACCTTCAAACACAAGTTCACTGACAGACTGTTTCCACACTTTGGCTCCTTGAACACACTCCCACTGAAGATATCACCAACGGAGGTCTCTGTATCAACAGGCTAATGTCCAAAGTCTTTAGTAATGATACTTGCAAAATGACATGTTCTAGGAGTTTTAGGGGGGAACAAATAATATTTTATGACATCCTCAGGTTATTTTTTTTAATTGATTAATTTGATTATCCAATACTGAATATTTGCTGCTGATTTTGGTGTTTAAAATGTGACAATATGAAAATAAACAAATATGTAAATATAATCCAAATATACGTTTTGTACATGAATGCATTACATTATCAAGGACATTGATTCATTTTCTTCCATGTATTCATTCAAGATATACATTCTATAGTTGAATAATTTACTTTAATTATAATTTAAATAAAGGCTTGATTTTTAACTCACAATAAGTGTAAATGTAACCTTACATTACTGATTATGTTTTGATTGCTTAAACTATTTTTAAGAATAAAATTGAAAGTTTTTGTATCATGAGTATTCATTTGAGTCTTTTTATAACACAGAAGTTGAAGTATTTTAAAGAGGATAAAGTCGTACAGCAGGGGTGGGGAACCTCCAGCCCACGGGCCGTATGTGGCCCGGGAGACCATTTGTTACGGCCCTCGAGGTAATTTATAAACACACGAAAAAAAGAATAAAAAAAAAAAAAGATTAGAAGGTAAAATAATTAAACAAGTGAGTACCTGTTTTTCCTGGCCAAGGTCAGGGTCCTTGAACACAACACGAGTCTAACGTGTCATCACGTGGTATATGTCTCGTCTGACAGGGGTGCAGTTCTGACGGAGAGCACCGGAACGAAGCTCCAGCACTTCACAAATTGCAGTACCCATAAGGAGCCGTACACATGCCGCAGGTTTTGCGTGGCTGTGTCTTTAGTTGTAAGCCCAGTGGCGATCTGTTCATCTGTCATACTGATCATACAGTCAATAACGTTGTTGTTATTAGCATCTGGTTAAGCTAGCTATGCTAACGAATATAAGAAGCTTTTTCTACAACCAGTGAGGTCAAGGCACATCTTTATATGATCATTATAGTTATAAAAAAATAAGAGAATAAAGTAAACAGGTATAAAATACTATATGACAGTAAAAAAAAGTTGTTATTAATAAACAAGAATACAGTTTGAAAGGAGTGATTTTTAAAATATCCATAAAGAAAAAGAAATCTGTTTACAGTTCTGTTTCATATGGGTGTTGAGAGATGTATCCATAGAGCTCTTAATTTTGCTCTCAAAATGCAGCAGATTGATGCTTTTAACTTCAACATTAAAAATAAATCACCCCACTTAAATCATGTTCACATGGATAGGAAACTAAATACACATCTTGTGTCCATATCTTTCTGTTTTGGTGGTCATGCCACAACCGTGCACGTGCATGCATGCGCGAGTAAGATATCTGGATTAAGAGGTTGCTTTTTCTTTGCACAGCATGAAAGAAAGACCAAATTAATGGGCTGTGATTTTAGTCTTTTTAAGCAGAGGTCAATCATTTGTACGGCCCTCGGAGGATGTTGAAAAAATTGAAATGGCCCTTGAGATGAAAAAGGTTCCCCACCCCTGTCGTACAGTATAAGAAACAGTCACAACATTTCAACATTGAGATTAGATTTCAAAAACAGATTTCCAATATTTTGAAAAAAAGTTGCAAAGTTTTGTGAATAATAATAATAATAATACAAATATATAGAGGAAGTAATCCTAATATTTAGAATATGTCGGAACTTGTTGAGGTGGGGATTCAACTAATACTTTATTTTCCCATTCAGCGTTTTGCAAAGGCATTGCAGTGATTTATTATCCCAACCAGAACATCCAATGTTTGTCTGAATGTGTGCTTCTGTATCAGTCCGTCCGTCCACAGACTCTTGCATTTTACTGGACGCATCAGCCAAATATTTTGTGTGTTGGACTATTGTTTCCGCTTGAGATTAAGAATTAATCCTATCAAAAATGATTAGGCCAAAACAAACCCTAAGGAACGATTGTGGTCCAACAGTGTTCATGATCTGTGTTTGGATCTACACTGATGCATTAGATCCTAGCTCAATATCCCAGTGTGAAGTGTTAGTGTGCAAAGAGTGTGGGGTTGAACGAGAGAAGGAGTGATAGTCACTACTCTCAGGCCTGCTCTCTGGTTGTGTTACTTGTTCAGCTTTTTCTCAAGCCTACAGGACCACCACCCTTGTGGGTATATTCCGGTAAAAGGTCACCTGACATTCTTGGACTTCCCCAAATGGAAAATTGCCTGATTTTTAAAGCATTTCTCTAAATTCTGCAACACTGCAGAAATATATGAAGAAAAGGAACCCTGGTATACCTGACTCAGTTGTGTGTGTGTGTGTGTGTGTGTGTGTGTGTGTGTGTGTGTGTGTGTGTGTGTGTGTGTGTGTGTGTGTGTGTGTGTGTGTGTGTGTGTGTGTGTGTGTGTGTGTGTGTGTGTGTGTGTGTGTGTGTGTGTGTGTGTTTCGTACCCAACAGCCAGGCGTAGAGTCTGCGGTTGAGGGACATGTCTCTTCTTAAAACCACATGCAAAGCTGCAGACAGGATCCGGATCATGTCAGGGCGAGTCGCCTGAACACAACAGTGCAGAACATTTGTGACTGTCAGATGTGTGTCCTAGCTGAGACATGTCCAGAACTGTTTTTGAGGTGGTGGATTCGACAAGCTGCCACGAAGAATTCTTCATTATCACACATTTGCAAATGAACAGAAATAAAGAAACAAACATCTGAAGATAAAAATGCCAATATCAGTACTAATATAAGCTTTATTATGAACATCCTGATAAATCCATATCAGCCAGTTAGCTAGATACCTGGACCAGATTGTACCTGTAGTACAGACACACAGATCTTTACCATCCCGGTGTTAACACACAGAGCTCACCCTCACAGCTTCCTCACCTGGCTCATGTGGAAGGGGAAACAGAAGAGGATGAGGTCCAGGGTGCTCCTCTGCACCAACACACTGGAGTCCTGGACTGAGGTACTGACCGCCTCCACCTGGTGAGAACACAACATTATTCAACCTGCTTCTTTAAATACATTTAACAATAGAGCATTATATATAATTGCACTATTTGAACCATCGCAGTGATTCTAGTAAAACATGCAATTGCAATCAATCTGAACGCGTGTACACATTCCTTCTAGCTTAATAAACTGGCTTTAACATGATACTACTCATTTAAGGTAATAATGATTTTTTCATTGTTATGTGATTGCTATTTAAATATTTCATCTGATGAACTGATTAGCAAAATACATTTCTCAAGCCAATGGTTATAAAAACCTATTTTTCATTAACTGACATTTATTAGGCAGTTACAGTTTCTCTGGCTCTGTGGTACACTCAGCGTTAATCCCTCTCTTTTTCTATTTTTTTTTTCTATTAGAAAGTAGCATTGGACACTTTGCTCATCTTACATTTTGGAGGAGCAGGTTGTGTTCATTTTGTCCTTCAGAGCCATCAGTTGACTTGTTAGGTGTTCAAACCTTATTTTCAGCTAGGAGGATGCAATTGATTTCCAAATCGTGCATGCAATTCTGTCATTAGTTATTTCTGTCAGGGGATGTTTGTTTTGCTCTGTAGTGTCATGTACCATGAGCTCGATGTCACTGCCGATGACGTAGAGCTGGTCCTCCATGGAGAGCTTGCGGTTGAGGTGCAGCAGAACGAAGGACACCCCGGGGAGGCGCACCGCGGGGCTGGTCAGGATGCTGCCCCACAAGGCACTGTAGAAGGCCGACTGCTCCACCGCTGCAGCCACCTTCTCCAACAGCGTGTTGGTTCTGTGAGAACACAGAGAGGACACAGTGAACACGGTTACTATTACAGGTACACATCTACACTGTAGTCCTACCACACTAGAACTGATGTAGTCCGCAAAGCTGGCACTCAGAAGGAAAAACACTTGTTTAAAGCAGCTGCTTCACATGATGATATCAGACTGACTGACAGTGCCCTGCCCAGATGGAGAGAGTCATTGAGGGCTCTCATCAAAATGTTCTTAATGGCCAAATATTAAGCAATGACTAGAGCAGAAACAGAGTCCCAGTAGTACCCAAAAGATCTCAAAGGGAACAGAGATGCATCACTCAATGCTTTCTCTGAACAGACCACTTGCTGTGGTTTATGAGTGCATTTGGATTTCACTGTGAAGCTTTCATTTGCCATTTCTCCTAACTGACTGGTGTATACATCTTTGGAAAAAATTAAGAGACCACTCCAATTTGTTCTTAAATCTCTAAATGTATGGCAGCCATTACATTCCAGTGTCTGATAAATTCCAACACAGAGAAATGTTGTCAATAGTGTATATAACAAAATAAAAAAAGTTGATTTTACTCAAACAAACAACTATAAATACTAAAAACCAGAGAAACTGATAATGCTCTTTTTTTTTACCAGAACGATATACTATATATGCAACAGTACATTTAACTGGGCAAATAAGGATGATCTGCAATCTAAGATAGAGCAGACACAACATTATTTTGATTTTGCAATCCTAGTGCAGCTTTAAGACATTAAGGAAGTCTAGTGTCCTCTGTGTGGAAACTGAATTATTGAAACATTAACGGGAAACGGCAACAAGAGGTAGTAAAGATAATGCAACTTGCTGTTAACCTCTGCAATGTGGGAGAAGCCAAATAAATGGAAGAATGCATATGGGAAAATGGAAAACCAAAGCGTAATTGAATTGAAAAACAAGATGACAGTATACATGTTTACCATCTACAAATAGGCCTTTTTAACAGCACAGGTGTTATTCATAACATTAACTACATCTGAAATAGCTGCCTGGGACATTTTATTCTAAATAAAACATTGTTACTTTCATGAGTCACACCAGTGCTTCTTAGGAAGTGTAAGACAGCCCCTCCAAGAGTAATGTCATTGTGATTTAAGATTTAAGGAGCAGCAGCCCCCTCTAGGGTCTGTGAGAGGAACTACAGTAGCACTGATGAGATTAATCCTTTCCCTGCTCTTATAAGATACCAATCACTATGTAAACAACCACTTGTGTCAAAATAAGAAATGATTAAATCAATTCATAACAGTGTTGGGAAGCCGATCATTGGCTTATATTTTGCGAGCGTCTGGGGAAAATGACTTTCTGGCCAGAGTTTCACAAAGCGCACACAACACTGAGAAGCCCTTGCAATATTCAACATTATAAACTATTCAACATTACTGTTTCCCAAAGATAAAATTGTTTCTCTGTCTTCAGAAAAACGTGTTCAATAAATTCTGGAACAAGTGTAAGGGGCCCATACGTCCGTATTTTGTGGACGTGTCGTGTTGAATTAATGACCCTGCAATGCTGTTTATTCTCGCAAACTTCAATGATTTGTATTCTCTCGTTTGCACACTTTAACTCTCTTGAAATGTATGAAGTTCTTAAATAAAATTAAAATTAGTGTACAGCAGAGGAAATAAACTGTTTTTATCCAAGGAAATATATTATATATTATACATCAAATATGTGAAAAAAGTATATAACACAAGGAAAAGAAGAAAAACAATATACTTTATGACAACTAAAAAGAAAAGGCATTTGGCATTTCATGAGCTAGAAAATGTAATAGTAGACACAAGTCTGCAGGTAGTTCTTGGAATACAATAGTAAACCGTCATTCTCAGAGACACAAGTCTTGAGCTGTGTCTTGAGTTGGAAACAATAATCTTGCAACGTCTCATATATCTCATTTATCATTCATATGATCTGAAATCAATTTCCTTCCACATTACGCTGTAAAAATGCTTTCTCCTAATGGCCTGTTCCAAAGTGTTTTCCTGCTCTCCTCACCTGTCGTAATACTCTGAGCCCTCCTCCAGACCCGGCAGGACCCCGGTCAGGAGGCCCTGTAGGCCCGGCTTCAGAGTCTTCCCCAGGGGCAGGTAGTAGGTCTCATAGAGCCCCAGCAGCACCGGCTTCACGGACATCGCAGCGTTGGAGAGGAGCGGGAAGAGCCCCGAGCTGCAGCGAGAAAAAAGATCTCAAGAAGTGATTCTAGCTTTGCTGTCTATCTCCAGTGTGAGTGGTAAGCAAGTCATACCTGTAGAGAAACAGGTCTTTGGCCAGCCTCTTGGGTCCGATGATCTTGAAGATGATCTCGTAGGTCTCCAGAGCCTTGCGGTGGACCCCGCTCGGCAGGGCGGGGTGGAGGCATTGGGCCAGCCGCTTGCCTATCGTCAGCTTCTTGGGAACCACTTGGTATTTCGCATTGTTCTGCAAAACCTAGGATAGGATGTAAAACATGCTGGATGGTTATGAGGCATGCACAGACAACATTGTAACAAGCTGAATGGGTGTCTGTGCAACTCAAGCCAAAGCTGATTTATGTGTCTATACGAGGTGACACAATAAGTCAATAGATAGAAAAGTTATTGACAACTATTTTCATTTTTATTTACACACAATCAGTCAGATAATCAAATATTCTCTGATTCCAACCTCTTAAATGAGAGGATGTCCTGCTTTGTGTCATACATAATTAAAAACTCAATATTTTGGGGTATTTAGACTTTTGGCTTGAACAAAATAAGACATTTGGTTGAAAATGTCAATTTTACATTTTTCTTATTTTTAAAGGGATTAAAGATTATTGCAGATGAATCAACAATGAAAACAATCCTTAATTGCAGCTCTAGCATTTTTGTGTATAAAATGGGTTTTCAGATAAGTCCATGTCTCTTGTTGTCATGCTTATTACTTGACAAAATGCATGTTTTTTTTATGTGTATTTGAAACTTTCATATTTCTATTTTACAATCACTTACAGTAGGCTAAATACCAGCAAAGTAAGTGAGGCTCAGCTTCTAAACTAATCGTTAATCCGATGACTTTATGAATGTAGTTGTATGTATGTTAAGTCACATACTGTATGTGTATGAACTGTATTGCATTCTGTACAACAACCATCCTGCCTCAGGTCAGATTTACATACCTTGTTGAGTTTGCCCAGTGCAGAGATGAGGTCGGCCCACTCACTGGAGTACTCAAAGTTCTTGAGGGCTTTGTCCACTGCTGCCACATAGTTCCTGTACTTGGAGTCACTGAGCAGCTCCACTTCCTCTGCATTCATCCTCCTGGGTGGTTATTACGCTAATGTACAACTCCAGGCACACATCGATACATCACAGCTGCACTGGAAAACAAAACAGGAAGGTACAGAAGATCAAAAATCCACTCTGATAATAAGCAAAGGATTAGTCATCTTCAAGCTGCCTGAGCCTATCAATCAGTACATGGACGATATTTCCGAATAACACGGGCCCATATATGAGGAGGAGCAAAGTCTGACACCTGCAGCCATAAAATCTGTTTTTTTTAAGTGTGCATAGATGTTGATAAGTACATGCTTTATACATTGTAATCCAGGCAGACAAACTGAAACTGCCATAAAAAACATTAACACTGTGAGACAAGCTACACTTACATCTCTTTTAAATGGAGTTTGAAATGTATGGGTATCGCATCTAAGAGAGGATTTACCAGATCTAGAAAAGGCATGTGACATTTTGGTAGCGAATTTTGCCCAAGGTATCGATGTGTCTAGAGAAAATAAAAAATCTGGATATTTTAAGCCAAATACCTTGATTTTGCTGCAATATTGTAGGGTTGACTGTCGGTGCTTTCACAAAGTATTTAGAAAACAGTTATGATAAATAATTATTATGGATGTTGATATAATGAGCAGATACAACAGTATATATAACAGTCTAGTAAATTCCAAGAATTACATCTTAACTGTAATGCAGCCTCTAAAACCAGGCAAAGACAACGCTTATGCTATATTAGGATATACAAAATCAAACAATATCTATTCTTATAATCACGATATTGAGATAATCAAAATATCGAGCGCTCACAAAAAAAAACGTTTCTCTTGATTTGCCTTCAATACTGTAAAGCTACAGTGAATCTTGAAGCTAAATTAACTTATAGGCGCCTTATTATGCTAGTTGCCAGGTTCATATTTGTCTTTTGTGTCTCTACTGTGACATGTCTCCATGCTTTGATGTTCACAAAGGTCTTTATTTTTCTCATACTGCCTGTGCTGCAGCACCTCTTTTCACCCTCTGTCTGAAACCAGAGCCCAGTCTGCTCTGATTGGTTAGCTAGCCGGCTCTGTTGTGATTGGTCAACCACTTAGAGATGTCCCGTCCTTTAGCCTATCACGAACACTTTGTTGGAGCACTAGCCAATAGAAGCATGATAATTACATAGTGATGTCACTATGGTACGTACGATTTGCATGCACAACAACCACCTATATAACACACTACATGAAAGGGAAAAACACAAAAAGCATAATAGGATCCCTTGATATTAATTACATTGTTTTTACAGAAATTTGCATTTTCTTTTATGTTCTTCCCAAAACTAAGGGTCAAAAAATACTGCACGGAATTATTCCAAAAAATAACATGAGGGGGTCCACCCTAATTATTCCCTATCTTGTTATCTTGGCTAAAAGAAATTGAGAAGTCCCACACTAAAAAAAAATACATTTAATTGGAGACAATTTGACTTGGAACAGCAGTAACGTGGGAACTTATAACAAAATAAGGTGCCAGTGAGCCATATCAGTGTATCACCAAGCACACTGCACCAGGGCTATTACTAATCAATGTTATTAATCACAGCTGTGCTTTTCCTGCTGTGACAAGTCAAAATGTCTGCGCTAAAAAGAGTCCACAGCAGATTTACAGAAAACTCAATTAATCTGACCAATATCTACAAGTGTATAGGCTACTTATTGTGAGGTATTGATGTAAATGTAACCCTGTGTGTAAGAGGCTAGCTTGTGGCAGCTGACATTTTTCTGAATGAGCTAACAGACTTGTAAAGTATCAACAACATTATGCACTATGAACTATAGTAATAATAGCAGCTTTTGTATACCTACTGTACATTAATGTTTTGAGGTAGGAAGCACATATAACGTCAATGAATATAAAACCACCTACATATATTTTCAATATCTTAATAAAGGCGTTCCTTCCGTTATGATGTGAGCGTGAAAAGAGGGTACTGTTACAGTAATGCTATAGCAAACAGCTCCCTTGTCACTAGCTAGGTCAGGGTGTTTAAGCTAACGAAGGTTACATTGCACTTCATGGCGTAAAAAAAAAAAAGCTGACATAAAAACTTACCGTTATGGGACAAAGGCCAGAAACTGTCATTCAATCACGAGCCCGGTTCGCCGAGTGAAAATGATTGACAACGTCAATAATATGACTAGCAGGCTAGCTGTGGTTTGTAGCAGGTTGTTTAAATGAAAGAGATGCAGGGCCTGGTGGGCTCCGATGTCAGCCGTTCATGTAAGTCAGGTCCCTTGACAAGAAGGTTCTGGAGGCAGACAATGGCTTGTTATTTTCTAAATATTCTTATTTCCTCTTTGTATTGACCCGCACTGTGTACATAAACAGTGATGAGCGCATCAGTAGCGTCCAGTGCCAAAGATACAAAAACGAGACGATTGACAGCTCCCAGACTGCACTGCAGATTAGCTGTACGTCCAACCATAGCGTCCTACTGCTCCCTTCCGCATGGACGTCTTCCGCCTCTCGCCTGCCTCAAGTTACCTGTGACATTTCCCGTCAAACTCGGAAATAGTGGAACTTTTCTTTCAAAATAAAAGTTGACATTTTTAAATTTTAATTACTGTCCTTATACTTATATGAAAAAAAATACAATTGTATTTGAACACTACATGGTAGTCATGGTGATGAGGAATGACGTAGTGAGCTGTGCAGATACAAGTAGATTAATTCCACATGCCTTCATTCTGAACCTGAACACTGACCTGAACTGTGTACTGAAATAGGAAAACAAAGTGATACATTCTGCTCAAAAAACAGCCTCTAAACTTTGGAAATCTGTCCAAAAAATGGCTGCTTTACACCGAGAGGAAATCCTGCTTAATTTACAGACCATTTTGCTAGACAATGGCCATAGTAAAAATACAGTAGACATTTAAGCTATATTTCTCTTTAAAGTTACTAAATTAAGCCTGATTCAGTATGATATAGGCCTAATGTGTTTGTTAAATCAAGTTATTAGATTTGGTTTGGCTGGAAATATTCCCTCATTCACCATCAAACTTTTCCACAGGTAGTTTCAGTGTAAAGTCAGAATAGTTCATTTAATGTAATAAACATTAAGTTAGCAGCTAGATTTTTTTGTTAATATTAATTTAGTGATCATATGCTGTATATTAGTGATTAAGAAACACATCAATATTGAGTCTGTGAACTAGGGTCGTTCAGTAAAGATAGAAAAATACTTAAATTTTGATGGCGATTGCATGGGCCTTTTTCGGAAAATTCTAGAAGTTCAGAATTCAGGCCGCCATGAAAATTGGTGCCACAGTAGTAATATGTAGATAATTTACTGTATAGGGATGGCCTCGTCCTTAGAGAGTTATAGTGTAGTTGCCTATAGGATTTTGCAAATGGCATTACTCTAATAAACTCAAAATAAATCCTTTGAAGGAATGCGTGAACGAGGATTATACACGTAAAAACATTCATGTATATGATTAATGTTATTATAATCCGCATATACCATTTTTATAAATGAATTGGTGATAAACCATATTGCCTTTAGCAACAACTTTTACAAACATTACATTCTTTCAAGTTAACACACATATTATAAGAATTAAATTACAAAAGTGACAGCATATAGGCTTACATTTGACTGATGTAATACATTTGATCAAATAAGACCTTCTTAGTCACAAAAGTCCCCGATACAGTTGTGATGCGCTCATATCTCAGAGAAATATTTAAAAGGTTCTTCTTTGCAGGTAATAAGTGAAACATTGTTTAAACGTTTCATTGTAAGAGAGGCAAACAGCCATTATGACGGATATTTGAATGTTTTTTTAATCACATGTCACTATTAAGTCCTCAAATCCAACAGTACAACATGACAATGAAAAGACAAAAAGACAAATAAATCTGACAGCTGTGACACTTTTTACACAAAAAATGGCTGGGAAACATTTCAAGTAAATGCATGAACTGGCCATCCATTGAAGTTGTCTTTATCGGTCTTTGCAGCTTTGATGGAAGTTATTATGCACACAGACTTTACTAGACTTTTTTTAGTTTTTCCACTGCAGCACAGTGCAAGTGTCAACCTGCACTGTGAACCAAAAATGGACAAACGCTGAACGTTTTTTCTTCTTCTCATTTAGCTGAGCTGCCAATGCCAGGACCGGTCCTCCAGCTGGGTATCAACAACTTGAGGAACCGTCAACTGAGCGCCTTTAACATCGACTCCATGAGCGACTCGGTCCTCAGTCTGTGCCACAGCCTCATTACTGGATCCAAGGACTTCCCTATGATCGGTTATAGAGGAACCATGAAATACAACAAGGTTTCCTCACCCTTTCCCGTTCCCAGAGATGTGGAGAACACTGAGCCCTCTCCTTGGCCGGTTGGGCCAGCAAGTGTGATAGTTCCTCCTGCAGGATCCACCTCCGGCGTAAGACCCATAGCACAGCTTCAGGAACAGTGTCCAAACACCACTGATCCAACAAAGACCGGCAGGTCGTCTGGGTACAACCGGCCTAACGGAAAGGCAAAGAAAAGTGGGAAAGACACGGTAGACTGACAAGACATTGCACATGCACTTCTCTCCCACCTGAGGGAAACAAAGGAAGTGTTCCTGGTGTAATTGGTCAGTCTGATATAGTATCTTTAACTGAGAGGAGTCGGCATGCATCGTGAAAAGTCAAGACCAGAGAAGTTGCGAGGATGCAGGACAGTGTGCTTTGGGAACTTTAAAAGGTGAATAGGCCCATACATCTACACTGAAAAAAGGGTTGACTTTTATTAAATGTATTATGTCAACAGATTTCACATAACTGTATTAGGTTAGTTGAAAGCAATAACATTAAGTTGAACCTAATATTTTTTTTATTTAAAGTAATATTATTGCTTTCAACTAACCTAATACAGTTATGTGAAATTAAAACATTTAATTAAAGGCAACATGTGTATTTTTTTATCTGACTCTCATGTACGGATGGATAGTGCTTCTGGCTATTTAACATGTTTGATTCAGTACAAGGAACCTTTAAAGTTAAATCAATATGTAGTTAACGTTGTGAGGTTATTAACTGTTTAATAACATTGTCATTCTTTGAACTTTTGCACATGCCTTGCACAATCTTACACATTTCTTCCAAATAACTACCACTGCCTTGAAATGCACAGCTTTTTTATCTTTACTTAGATAATGTGAATATTTGTATTGTATGTTTTCATGCAGTGTGATTTTTTTCTAATCAATATTCAGTTTACTTGATTTTATTTGTTCAGGAATAAGGGATCAAATGTTATATAATGACAAATGACTACATATTATATTAAATGATGATATAATAATATAATATATATGTCAAAGCGTGTTACCTCTGAAATATTTCTCTAATAAACTATGTTTCAAAGGACAAGTTACAGTGTTTGTTTGCATATGTCAGAGGCTGATAACAAACTGTAAATTCACCATTTGTTAGGATCTGTTATGTGAAAACAGTCATACGGATATTTCTATTTCACTGAGTTAAACTAACATAATGTTATTTTGAATGTCATAAAAATATTATGAATGTGAAATATTTGTTTTTATTTCCTCAACTGACAAGTGAAGATCATTGTTAACTAGTTAGGCGTAGTGTGTCTTGCTTTCTTTGATTTCCATTTTATGTTACTTTGTTCTTCTATCAAATTACACTTCAAATGTATGTAGTCCCTTTAGTTATTTTTCAGATTGTTGATTAATAATAAACAATATGATCAACGCTTAATTAAGACTTTAGTGACACCTTGTTTTAATTCACATGCTACCCAGCAATAAAAGCATTCAATTAAAAATAGTTCCACCAGCTTGACAAACACATCAATAATTGTAATAAAAACATATATATGATTGTGAAATGGGCCAATCTGAATAATGAGTAATAATGAGATACTTTTAGTATATTTTGATGCCAATACTTTAACTTGAGTACAATTTTGAATACAGGACTTTTACTTGTAACAAAGTATTCTTACACTGTGGTATTTTTACTTTTACTTCAGTACAAGATCTGTGTAGTTCTTCTATCTGTGTTTATCAATTATTAACTATCAATAACAAATAAATGTGAAGAAATAGTTGTACCTTTTTTTAATTTTGAAATGTCTGACCGGATGCTTTCCCCCTAACTATGGTGTACTTTACACCGGCGCTGTCGTCACGCTGCAGACTGATAGCATCCTCTGGTTCCACTAGCTGTTTGAATCAGATACATGTGATTTTACGTGTGTATCTCTCTATGCTAAAAAGCTACCCAGAGCCCGCCTACTCTAAGTTTTTTATTAGCGTATAGTTTATTTTGTATTATTTCTTAATATTGACTGGCTGAATGGAAGACTTTGAGAAGGCATCCAGAACACATGGAGTAGGAGTCTTCTTAGAGCTGAGGAAAAGGCTCCAGAGTGGACTGCTTATCGTCGGGTAAATGTTGCTGATAGAAAGCTAGTGAGCTAACCAGTTACAGTTATATTACATTAGTGCATAAGTTATGTTTACAATGCAGGCTAGGCTAGCTAATAGCATTAGCTAATGTCGCATGCATTTACCCAGTACATGTGAACTGATGCTGTACTTTCTCAGTATCAGATAACATTAGAAATACTAACAGGGCTTAACATTGGTTTCCTTTTATTTATCATAAATAATCAATACAAGTAAAAATTACACGGTGAAAACTGATTTTGGCAACATAAAGCATATCAATTGTAAAACGTAATGTTTCTCAAGTAAGCCTATAATATTGAGGTAGGCCTATGTGTACTCAGTGGTGGAAAGTACATTCACTCAATAATTGTACCTAAGTACTTGTTTTGACATACTTTACTTAAGTATTTCCATGTATTGCTACCTTGTACTTCTACTCCACGATATGTCACAGGTGAATTTGGTACTTTTTACTCCACTTCATTTACTTTACAAAGTACTCATAGTTACTTGTAGCCTACACATACAAACAAATGATATGCTGATAAGGTATAATGCACTGTAGGCTACTACTAATATATCTTAGTTTGGTCCAAATTGACCAACTACGATACTAAAATGCTCTTACATGTATACAAACAGGATATAATTATAACCATAGTAATATAATACTATGAAAAGATCCATTATGATTAACGTACTTCTGAAACGGGTCATTGTGCTGAATGAGTATTGCTATTACTTTTTCTACTTTTACTTAAGTAAAATCGGAAATCACATATGTTACCTGTAGTGGAGTATTTTAAGACCATAGTATTTTACTTTTATTTAAGTGAAGGATCTGAGTACTTCGTCCAACACTGTGTATGCCTGCTTTAGTATTTACTTTTAAATGCTATACTTTATACATGTACTCCTGAATTAAGAGGGGAAATATTATATTTGTTTACTCCAAAGGGTGTTTGTCATCCATAGTAACTAGATACTTTCAGATCGAGG